AAGTTGCCCAGCTGCACTTGACACCTGGATCCACGGGAGGGGTAGAGGTGGCTCCAGAAATGTCGATGATTTACCCTCTGGTTATGTCAAAATAGCTATTGAAAATGGCCATTTTATAGTGGATTTTCCCATTAAACATGGTGATTTTCCATAGTTATGTTAGTTTACCAGAGGGTAGGATGAGTAACTCGCCGAAATCGATGATATCCAGGTAGAAATTTCATTAAAGGCTGATTTTTTGATGAATCTCATGAATATGGCATCTGATATGTTGTTCATGTTGGCTGACTATTGACTTTAGGCTGATGATATTATGATTGTATGATGATATATGATGATTATATGAGATGGCTCTACATAATTCATGTGTTTTTGACTAATTTGAAAAAATCTGCCATTTTGGGATTGTTACCCAAACCATCATTCCAGTCATGTCGGAGTGAAGCCATCATAAATCATCCATTATGATCATATAACATCATATAACCACCAATATGAGGTACCCTCTGGTAAACTAACATTTTGCTATGGAAAATCACAATTGTTAATGGGAAAACTCACTATAAATGGAATTTTTCAATAGCTATGTAACAAATTACCAGAGGGTAATTGTATAAGCTAGCGTGCATTTCTGTAAACTAATTGTTGTTTTTCCACTTGGACATGTGGAACAACATCAAATATGCACGTAGATGGTGTCACAGTTGCATTTTGTTTACATCAGGAAAAAAACACATACCCCATATGCTCCATGTATGGTATATTATATGTACCTACATTTGAATGATTTTTAGGGCAAATGTCGGCAAATGTTGGTCAATATTCCATACACGGAGCATATGGGCACATAATCCCCATCAACTATACTTATATCTACCATAAACCATTGAATTCAGCCACTTATAAACCAACTTAGCTATCTTGGGGCCCCATCTTGTACATATTCGTAGCATAATAATACACATTATTAACACCACACATCAGGTCGAGCCCGGAAGTTATTAAAAGACCCACCACGTCAATCAGTGGTCAAATCATATCCCCTATCATCCCAGCTGGAAAATGGGGGAAACCGCCAAGTCACTGGTTACTGTATTGCGAGACAACACTTCTACTCCATATTTCATAGATAAATCCATGTAAAATCATGCAAATCCATAAATTTCCCTCAAAAAAACCTTATGAATCCCTAGAATGCCCTTATAAATCCGTAAAATTCCATCAAAAAATCTGAAATTCCCATATAAATCCGCAAAAAATCCTTATAAATCCGTATAAACCCCTAGAATGCGCTTATAAATCCATAAAATGCCATCAAAAAATCCATGAAACTGTCCCAAAACCCGACTTTTTCTAGGTTTGGCGCCGCCAGCCAAGTCACTGGCCGCGCCGGAAGAGCGCCTTGACCTGGAAAAGGCCATGGATTTTGATGGAAAAAAGTGGATTTGCCATGGAGAATCACCATTTTTAATAGGTAAATCATCAAAAAACATCTATTTCTATGGGCCATTTTCCATGGCTATGTTAGTCATAACCAGAGGGTATATTGGAGATCTAAGAGATTTACATTGTAAATGTATAAGAATTGATGTAGATAGATTTATATGTAGATTTATATCTGGATTTATATAGATTTATTAAACAAATGTGAATTGTATGGTTTTATGTTAAGTTACGTTGATTTTAACGAGCCAAAATGGTGATTGGTGAGAGGATTTATAATGCAGGATGGTTTTTACCGTGGGAAAGCTCAGGTTATTAAGGTCTCTCAATGTCACTATAGGATTCCCAAAAAAAAAAAGCAGTGTTCAAAAACCTGGTTGGTTGACTATAGTTAGAGGATTTTTGTTCTACCCGACCCTTTATATACTGGGGATTATTTCAGAATCCAAGGGGAATGCCGTTCTGAACCAGGATTTTCCATGGACATTTCGGGATTTATTTCACACTGCTCCTAATTCTTTTCTGCTGAAACACCCTTTGCCCTTAAAAAATGTCAAACAACAAACCCCTTTCCCATCTACTACTTGGATCCAATTGGTTGATAGATGTTGAATGGCTCAACTTGGAAAAGAGGAGCTTTCCTAAGTCATAGGGCTACCCCCAAATCATCATCCATTTATAGATGGATTTTCCCGTGGAAATAAACCATCCAGCGATATATTGGGGTATCCCACATGGCACCACATCCCCATGGATTTTCCATGAAATAAACCATCCATTTAAGGTAAACCTCTCTGGTTGGTGGTTTCAACCTACCCCTCTGAAAAATCATGGACTTCGTCAATGGGTTTCGGATGACAACCCATATATGAAATGGAAAATAATCCATTCCATGGTTTGAAACCACCAACCAGTGATTAGTAACCATCATTAACCATCATTAACCATGATTAACCAGTGATTATTAACCATTATTAACAATTATTAACCATTCATGTTTGAAACCATCAACCAGATGGTTTTTACTATGGTTAACTCGCCACTTTCTGATGGGTTTTCCTATGGTTTTCCACTGATCACAGCTCCATAACTATGGTTTTTCCTATGGTTTTCCTATGCCTCAGCGGCATCTCAGCGGCATCGCAGCAGCATCTCGGCCCCCGAACGCAGGCGCCGTCGATGTCCAGAAGCACCTCCGAGCACTTGCGCTCGGCCTCGTGCCACTGCTTCCTGCGACCAAAGGCGACGACGAGTTCACCATTTCGGTCAGTGATTTCACCAAGACTTTTGTGTATTTTGACCATGAAACCAGGGTAATTTATGGATTTTGACCATGAAACCTGGGAAATTTATGGATTTTGACCATTTATTAGTTATAACTGGTTATAAATGGGATTATACATTCTATAAATGGCGTTGTAAATACTTATAACTGGTATTTCGGGCCATAGCTGTGGGGATTTTGACAAATGGGGGGGATCTTGGCCAGCAGGGTTTTTTGTGCAGGGAATCTTTGGGAATCTCGCGGGAAAATGGTGGATATAACGATACCATATAATGTCAACCCTGGATTGATAAACCCTAGGCTGCTTAATTGGGAGGGTACCATTTAAGTATCAGATAATGACTATTGGAGGAGTACTCCCCTAATTAATAAACCATGGTTTATTAATCCGGGGTTGACATTAACCATGAATATGAGCATCCAAAATGCTGGAAAATGCTAGAACATGGTGGAAAAATTGGCATTGAACCATGAATCATGAGGAGTCAGCTCTGTATACATGGCTACTACATGGCTACTACATGGGTACTACATGGGTACTACATGGGTACTACATGGGTACTACATGGGTAATGAGGGTAATGTTTGGTTCTCACATGGAGCTTGAAACCAATTTCATGTCAATTTCAATGGGAACATGACAATGCAAACTAAGATAAAAACATACCTTTAGGGTACCCTATTCTTGAACAAATACAGTAGTGCTTAAAGATGCTTAAAGTATGGAAGTGTTCCAATATTCTCCAGGCTTCCAAAGGTTTTAGATGGTGATGAGAGATCACAAGGCACCTTCCACAAATTGTTGGCCGCCACGAAGTGATAGGGTTAGTGAAGCAACTGAGGTTTTTGCAAGAAATATGTTTGCAAAAGGAATGTCCAAGTATGTGATTGAATATATGGCGTATACATATGTATATATATATATATGCATACATATATGCATATATGGTATCTATACTCTGATATATCTGAGGTATACTGGGAATACAACCAAAATCAAATAGGTTGTACTCGCATATATGTTGGTATGAACAGTGACCAGAATGGGCACCCTCCTAACTGTTACTTGGGGGTGATAACGCTTCAGGAGCGCTCAATTCATCCAAGATGTTCTTCCAAATGACTGACAGTAAAGAATTCAAACATTACATCACATATTCAGGCATAAAACCAAAATCAGAGTACCTATCCAAAAAGATAGAAGAACAAAATCCTGCACAAAAATAATGTTGCATCACATTTCACCTCAAAAAGCTGGGATGGCTGGATGTTGCTCCCACCAAACTATGGTGAATGACTCAGGTTTTTAACATCATCTGTTTGGAGGATTGCCACAAGGTGCTTCTCCTCCGCATAAGCGCCAAGGCCCAGTTCAACAGCAAAGGCTGTTGACCTTATGAAAGCGGCCGAAAAAACAAAAAAAAACTCAGCTGCCCCGGGGTCAACTGACACACGAAGATGTGGAAAAAAAATGTCCAGTTATAGATGACACATCTATTTAAACAAATATAGTTATAGATATAGTTCTATAGTAATGGTTATAGTGATCACCTAGAATGGTCTAGTTATAGTTATAGATGATCACCTATGTTTACAGGAGGGTGAGGATTTGCATGTCATGAGCAATCAGTTGAGAGACATCCGCATCGACCTTTTGAACGTGAAATGCCCTCTGCTGTGAAATATAAAATGATATGTAAAGTATTAGGTAGATCATACTATATAGTTATAAAGTTGCCCTTCCCTCTGGCAGTGCATCATATTGAATCTTATTATATTATGTTATATTACATTGTATTGTATTATATTGTCTTTCATCATAGTGCATTACATTAGATTGCATTACACTGCATTACACTGCATTACATTGCATTAAATTGCATTAACTTGCATTACATTATACTGTATCATATGTTATTCTATTGTATCATTCACCTTGGATATATTATATTATACTGTATCATATCTGTTATTATATCTATATATATATATAATGTGAGTAAATTATAATATTTCACTAACCTGATTTAAGGCCATTTGGAGATGATTCCAGTGAGGTCGCAGTGAGGTCGTTATAATTTACCCAGATATATGTACATATATATATATATCATATTGTACTGTACAGTGTTGATATGTAAAGAAAAAAACTTGTTGTGAGACAAACCGCAAATCCAGTCTGGCACCGCCTGGCGCCGGTTGGAAGAAAAAAGGCTGAAATTGGAGTGGCCTGGAAAAACCTTTAGTATCCTTAAGTATATAGCTGATGATGTTGAAAGGTTGTTTCCGAGATCACATAATATAGTTAAGATATCAAGGTACGAAATATAATTAGGAAAACAAATCCTGTAATATCCTTTAATTATTAATTACATATCTTAACTATATCTGTTTAAGACTCGCCGTTGGCTTGATGAAATCCCCATGATCAGCCACCAACTGGGGTTTCCCAAAAAAAGGGGCACCCCAAAATGGTTGATTTATAATGGAAAAACCATCTATAAATGGATGATGACTGGGGGTACCCCATTTATCATCATTTCAGAAAACCACCAAATGATTTCCTGCAATGGATTTTTAATCGATCATGATCCACGAACTAAATCCACGAACAGGAAGTTGGTGAAGCTCTTCCAAGACCAAACCAGGACTCCCTGGGGTTCCTGCACTCTCGGAGTCGTCGGTTGTTGGCCACTGCTGTGGCATCCTTCTTGGAGCCTCGCGTGGCCATCTGGTTATCGTTATTGCTACCATGGCATAGGAAAAGCCCAGAAGTTGGGAATAGTTGGGATACATCCTCTGTAATTATATCTAAGATTATCTAACTACCCTCTGGTAATTTGTTACATAGCTATTGAAAATGGCCCATAGAAATAGTGGACTTACCATTAAAGATGGTGATTTTCCATAGCTTTTTGTATGTTTACCAAAGGGTAGATGATTGAGATCTAAGTATGATTGCATATAATTGCATATCCACGTAGTTCACTGGAACTGTACTCCGCATGGTGTGGATGTCAAACGTGGCCTGCTGGGAAATCACCAAACATGTGACGGCTCTAAAGTCCAAATTGACGATGAAACCTGACTTAAAACTGCGGTCCCAACTTACAATTTACAGATGTTACACTGCAAAAATCCATGTTTTCTTGATATACAACTAGCATGCTGGGAATTCCATATTTTTGGACTGTTCGGAATATATGGAGATCACATATGGGTGAGCATCCAATCGTACCTGATTTCTTGTGAGCAGGACCACGATTCGTGGGTGTGGTAAACCCAACGCCATCCAGAACCCATCCCAGTACCCTCTGGTAAACTAACAGTTTGCTATTTAAAATGGCCATTGAAATAGTTGATTTACCCATAAAGAATAGTGATTTTCCACAGTTTTTTGTAAAAGGGAGACATATGGGATCCGAAGAGCAGATAGATCCCTGCCCCAACATCCCCGAGAAAGCCAACAGTTCAGGATCTCTTTGGTTCCCAAATTAAATAATCCACGAAATATCCAAATTAATTAAGATTAGTTCGTAATAAAACATTAAGACCTCGGTCAACACCCATAATGCAAACAATGTTTACCCCAAACACTAATTAATATTACCAGTGTTTTGTTGGATGAACTGAACTAGGATGAACTTCTACTTCACATTTCATTAGACGAATACCATGACTAGTGTTGGACCTGCTCAAGTTGTTGGGTCCCAGATATCTCCGGAATCTCGCCTGGCATTCCCATGTCCTCGGCTTCAATGACGTCCATCAGTCCGGAGCCGCGTTCGTAGTGGTCGCATGCACGCAGCAAACGTCCTGCACCATGGTTGTATATATATATATACGTATATATATATATATATCGCATATACGATAATTTTGACTTACTATCCACAACAATAAAATGAACATTGAACTAACATACTTGGAAGTAACAAATGACATGTCAATCATATAAGAGATAGTATGTGTATGCATATATCGTATAATTTGAGACGTATTTGTTGTATATCATATGCTTATATATTAATGGATGTTCAACATACAACATGCTATATATTACAAACTGTATAGGTTAAATTGAAAATACGATACATTACATACAAAAGGGCTGCAAAAACATCTTGCACAAATGAAACCATTTTTTAAAGGGGAGGGGGGGGGCAAGCGATTATTATTACTTTTTTTTTTTCTTTGGGGGGGGGCGGGAATAACCATTAGTTGCTTCCCAGAGAAGGGAAGCGGCGACACCAACGGCTGGGAGTGCGAGGGGAAGGGGGGGGGGCAATTGATTATTATTACTTTTTTTTTTCTTTGGGGGGGGGCGGGAGATAATCATTACTTCATGGAACAGCTGGAAAGGAGCCACACCAACGCTGGAGGGAGGGAAAGGGGGGGAGGGCAATCGATTATTATTACTTGTTTTTTTCTTTGGGGGGGGGCGGGAGATAATCATTACTTCTTGCAACAGCTGGAAAGACGCCACACCAACGCTGGGAGGGAGGGAAAGGGGGGGAGGGCAATCGATTATTATTACTTGTTTTTTTCTCGGGGGGGGGGCAATCGATTATTATTACTTTTTTTTTGTTTGGGGGGGGGTGCCGGAGATAATCATTACTTCATGCAACAGCTGGAAAGGAGCCACACCAACGCTGGGAGGCAGGGAAAGGGGGGAGGGCAATCGATTATTGTTACTTTTTTTTTTTCTTTGGGGGGGGGGCAATCGATGATTATTACTTTTTTGGGTTTCCTCAGGGTGGGGTGGGCGGGAGATAACCACTACTACTACTACTACTACGACTACTACTACTACTACTACTACTACTACTACTACTACGACTAAGACTAGTAGTACTACGACTATTACTACTTCTGCTACGACTACTACTGCTATGACCAGAACTTGGACCTTTTTTTCAACAACACCGTTTGCTCAAGACTCTGCCCAAAGTGCGAAGCTGTCAGCCGCAACCGGGGTTTGTGGCGTGTACTAGCCACCCATCACTGGAAGTTGTTTCCATCGGGTGGCAGCAGCAGTGGTTGCAGTACTATTTGGCGCATCAGATGCCCCCCCTGGCGAAAGTGCCACTGATCAACAAAAGTTGGTTTCATCAATTAGTAACAGCTGTGCTTGCAGTACTACCCGGTGCATCCGATGCTCCGCTTGGCAAAAGTGCCACGCCTCACTGGAAGGTGTTTCCACCGAGTGGCACGGCAGTGCTTGCAGTACGAGTCGGCGCATCAGATGCTTCTGGGAGGAAAAGTGACACTGATCGACAAAAGATGTTTTCCTCGATTAGTAGCAGCAGTGGTTGCAGTACTAGCCGGCGCATCTGATGCTCCCCTGGCCAAAGTGCCACTCATCACTGGAAGTTGTTTCCATTGAGTGGCACCACAAGTCGTTGCAGTACTAGTTGGCGCATCTGATGCTCCCTTCGCAAAAAGGTCACTGATCAGTGGAAGGTGTCTTCGTCGCTTAGTAGCAGCAATGGTTGCAGTACTAGCTGACGCATCTGATGCTCCCCTTTGCAAAAGCGCCACTCATCACTGGAGGTTGTTTCCAGTGAGTGGCAGCACAAGTGGTTTTCTGTACTAGCCGGCGCATGTGATGCTCCCCTGGCAAAAGTGCCACTCATCACTCGAAGTTGTTTTCAGTGAGTGGCAGCACAAGTAGTTGCAGTACTAGTCGGCGCATCTGATGCTCCCCTCGCAAAAATGTCACTGATCAATGGAAGATGTTTTCCTCGCTTAGTAGCAGCAATGGTTGCAGTACTAGCCGGCGCATCTGATGCTCCCCTTTGCAAAAGTTCCACTCATCACTGGAAGTTGTTTCCAGTGAGAGGCCGCAAAAAGTGGTTGCAGTACTATAGCCGCATCTAATTTGACACTACAGCTCAACTTTTTGCATTTGAAATCTCCAACGAGTTGGAGCAACCAGCTAGACCGTAGAACATTTAAAATGCATGCCAGCTGCAACGCCCGGATCCAGGATGAAAGAAGTAGTATGCCCCCGGCACGGTTCGGGAGGGCACCATGTGAAGGCCGTCCGTAAGCCGCCTTGGCTTTGGACTCAGAACATACTCCTGCGGCGACGCGGTCTGGGGGACCTCTCGGTGGAACGTCACCCCCAAGTAATCGTCACCATTCAAAACCTGGGTATATCATTGGGAATACTCTATAAGTGGGCGGATTTAAAAGAGCCCTAATGGAGGGTCTTGGGTCAGGTTCCTTGCATTGAGTTGACGCCTTTTTTGCATGATCTGAGATGGTAGCTGGGAAAAATATGGAAGTCTGAACCCGCACAACCATTGACTACTGTCTCCTCCGTACTGTCATTTGCATTCAACGGGATACCGATAATATCCAATTTATTGGTTTCACATTTGTCCCCGGCCTGATCTTTCACAACAATGCAAGCGGTCGACGCGTCAACAGTGTCGGGCAGGGTGATGCGAAAACCTGGACAAGCCAACAGAGCGACCTGGAGTTCCCCCCAAAACAGTGGAAAATATGGGGGTCAAACGTGGGTAGCCAGACAAATGGATGGTACATATGTTGGATCTTGACTGAAGTTTGTGGTTCGCTACATCGCTATGAGGGAAGCAACTGACCTTCTGGTAAACAGACACAAAGAGATGGAAAATCACCCTTTGGCAAAGATGAGGCATGTAACTAAATTGGGATTCTCAATAGCTATGTCCATGTTAAGTGACCTGAGGGGAACACAGCAACCCATTCACATGTTCTGGTTGGTTTCAGCAATGCCCTGCACTGATGAAATCTTCGGCACATGAATGCATGTAAAGATCGAAAAACCTATATATATATATTAATATATATATATATAAACAAATATATAAATATTGAGTCAGGTATCTTACAGATGTCCCGGGTCCGGCCCACGTGTGGCCTGGCCTTTGGAGAGCCTGACAAGGCAGTGCCATGAACAGTTCACCGAAGGGTTCATTGTGGATGGGTGGACAAATGTGAGCGTGCACAGTGGGCTAACAATGACAACGACACTGACAAGAAGGAGAACCGAAATATGACCCACCATCGCCACTACCAGCAGCACCACAACATGCACCAGAACAACAAAAAAAAGCAGAACAACAACAGCAACAACAACAACAACAAAAACAACAAGAAACACAACAAGAAAAACAAGAAAAAACAACAACAACAACAACAACAACAACAACAACAACAACAAACAACAAACAACAAACAACAAACAACAAACAACAAACAACAAAAAAAACAAACAACAAACAACAAACAACAAACAACAACAACAACAGCAACAACAACAACAACAACAGCAACAGCAACAACAACAACACAGCAGCAACAGCAGCAACAACGACGACAACAACAACAACAGCAACGACGACAATGACAACGACGACGACGACGACGACGACGACGACAACAACGACCACGCCCACGAACACAACGACAACGACAACAACGACGACAACAACAACCACGAGCATGACAAGGACAACAACAACGACAAATTGAACCAGAACAACAACTACGACGAGAACAACAACGAATACAACCAGTACAGCGAGCAACAACTAGTACGACGACACCAGCACTACAGCACGAGCATCAGCAGCAGCACTGTGAGCAGAACGGGCAGCAGCACCAGCACAAAAGGAATTCAGAGCACTGCGGCAGGGGAGGCAATGAATGCTCGCCAGAGGCGCAAAGCTTGACATGAAGTGGAGTTGGATATGGGCAAACAGGCGGTGACTTTTTGGACTGCCGCAATGCTTCTGTCGCTGAAGAAACCAATGCAGAGGGGCTGGCAGGAGCGTCTTTGTGATCGCACTCTGCGTGCCCGAGGTGGGAACGGCTTCTTCGAGATCGTCCCGCAACAGCCGACTAGCAGAAGATAGCTGCTGCATGAATTCACACCGCCTAACGCAGCGCCTAAGCCGCTTCGCTCCAGTGGTGCAACTGCTGCGTCGCAGCCGCAGCAAGAGCCTCATCGAAGGCAGCAAACTCCAGCCGCGGCGCCGCAGTGGGCACGTTGTGCTGGAGCTCCCCAGGTAGCGGGGCACGATACTCCTCCAAAGGCACCTCGAAGATGGCAAGGACAGCTTGCACGGAAGCGAGGTGAGGAGCGTCAGGAGGCAGGTGGCGTTTACAAGCAAAGAGCTTGCGGGGGCCACTGTTGTTGGTAGAGAGGCCGCAGGCGGCAAGTTGCAACTTCTCAAGGCAAACGAGGGCCAAAAGGATGAGCAGGATCTTCTCCTCGTGGGGTGATTGGGGCAAGTTGTCGCGCACAAAGCAATGGGATTTCAGCAAGGTGGAATCACACCACACGGAATGCATTCGCAGCACCATTGCAATGAAGGGTTTCAGGTGCGGGTTGGATGCAACGGGGTTTTGCTCCAAGAAAGCCGCTAAGGGCATCGCACGCAGCCGGGCTTTCGTCGTAGGCGGCCGGAAGTCCGAGATCGTGGTTGTAGCACCCAATCCAGGCCTGCAAATTCGGACCGACCATAGCATCGTCCTCCTTGCAACGCGGCAAAGACGCATCACAACATGTCAATATGTAACGACTTTTTTGGGGGGCCATTTTCACCCAAAGTTTGGAGGCGGGAACATGCAAGGATCTAACGGCTCAAGTCAAAGCGCAAGCAACAAAACAGCGATCAACCCGAGCTGACATCCAGGCCTGCAACATGTGGCGCTCAAACTCACCAGGCCGTTCTTCAAGCAGATTGTACCTGATTGCCGCAAAGGCTCGCACCTTCTCAGCCGTTGTAGCCTGTTCTGGGGCAGATGGGACCAGAATGAGC